ATTAACACAAGTATACAAACAGTACGCAAGGGGGAGGGGGTGGACAAATTTGCACTCTCTTACAATATGCATAAAAAATAACATGCAATATGTGAAATAATGGTAAAATTATAATGCAACCATGGATATAATATTCATTTTTAAGCAACCAAGTACATTGCTTTAGTTGACTTTACAAATAAAATAGAGAATGGTTTTGCAAAATCAACATTTTCTTGTACAATTTCCGAGGGGAGAGAGGGGGATCTATACTTTCCCAGAACTATGAATAGATATTTGGCAGAGGAAGTTTTACAGATGGTATGGCTACAAACCTTGCATATTTCATTTACTGTAAATGACAAAATAGACGCCTGTCTTGGAATATGACCACCCCAAACACAATTTGTATGTTTTAGCGAACCCCCTGCCCATGAATAAAAATAAAATTTTGGCCAATTTGGCGCACCTGCCTCCACGAAAAATCAAAATTTCTGAAAAAAATTTTAATTTTTTATTATGCTCCCTGCTGCCTTGAAATCTCCAAAAATAGATATGTATATTTCTTCCAAATTATATAAATTTAAAGCATTTAACCATCCCATAACTAAATTTATTCGTTTTTCCACCCTGACGATCTTTTAAGAAATAAGTTTGCAAAACAAGGTACACAAAAAGTGCTCTTGCCATGGCACTAGAGCACATAATAATAATAATAATAACAACTTTATTTTATAACGGTCAAAAAACTCGTTCACCCAAGTGGGTGTTCTTCCACGAGGCCGTATGGACATTAAACAAAATAATTGTGTTAGATTAAAATAATTAAGTGTTAGTACAAAGAAAAAACAAATATATATAATACATAATAATGGTTATTACATTACTATGTTTCTTTTAAAAAGTTCTAGTGTGCTTGAATTTTTTATATTGCTGTCTGTTCATTAAGTTCCCTTAATTTCTTCATTCCCTCATCTACTGCTCATTTTTACTTTTATTTCTTGAAGGTTGACACCTCGGCCGATGGATACGTAGACTGGAATGAGTTTTGTACGTATATGCTAATGCAGCTCCGCGAGACAGACTACATGCGACTCAAGGGTTAGTATAAAGACTGTCTCTTATACACGTCTAGATGTGTATAAGAGACAGCCTCCCCCAAACGATATTGCAATAGTCAAAATGGGGTGCAACAATAGCTTTATATAGAAGGTATTGTATGAGTGGGAATTAAATCACTGGATTTCTTAAGAAAAAATAAGCCTGGAAGAACTTTAGATCTAATATGATCAATATGCGTACTCCTAAGTGTTTACAATGATGAACATATTTTAAGTGTTTAAAATGATGAATGATGAACATATAGGTTTTGATGTTTCTTGTTAGAAGTTGCCTTCATTCCTTCTAACAGAGTCTTGGATTTTAAAACAACACTTCTAGCCTGTGTAAGTGGCAAGTCATTGTTGATGAATGAGAAAAACATTTCTTTTTTTTTTTTTAATAAAAGTCTACTACACTTTTGTTAACACCATTTTTGGAAGCTTTATTGAAAAACCTACAAATTGGTAACATATCTAGTTTATCTACTGCTACTGAAATTAACCTTGTATACAGAAATGCTACTGCAATAAACATGGTAGAAAATAAAGAAAACATGAACACAGGGTTTTATAACTTAAACAAGTTAGTAACTATGGCTAATTAAAATTAAACCCTCAACTAATTGACAACACAAAATAATTTAAAAAGTAAATAACATTTTAAGTAGGTTTGATGTGAAAAAATTATTGTTAGGGAGGGAATGGGGAGGGGAAGGGGATAAATGCAACAAAAAGAATATGAAGCAAGATTGGACCTCAAGATTATTTGCTCCAATCAACAATTTCAAAAACCTTTACAAAGTTCACATGTTTTGACATACTAAAGTTATGCTCATATCTTTATTTTTTTTTTTGTCTTCATTTTTTTTCCACATTACATACAGATTCTCTAAACTACACAATTATTGGAGATAGGTGTTTTTTTTAGTTGCGCAAAATGTACATTCAACATAAGGCATTTATTAAAACATTTTTTTCATTTTACACAACTGGAGTACAAATACAAACATCATTATTCAACAAGGTAATTATTTTTTAGAAAATGGTGAAATCCTGTCCCAGAAATCCAGCAAAAAACCTCTTTGTAAACATAGTTCATAGCAGACCAGAACGAAAGCCAATCTAAAACAATACTGGTATTGTATTGCTTTGTCAGGACTGGATAACTGAGAAATTAATTGCTTGATGCGTTTTGTCGTAAAATAAAAAACAAAAACAAACCAGCTACATTGCATATACGTGCTCAAAATTAGTGCTTTTTAAACATATCTGTTTATCTGTGTTTATTTTCTTCTAGGCAGTCAAATTAATATATCTGTTTTGTACAAATACTTAATAAAAGCGTCAGATGCTTTGCATATGTAATGAAAACGGTGCATTTCTTGACAAATCTGATTAGCGAAGTTTGTTACAGTATGCATATAATGCATATTAATAAATATTACTATATTTGATGTACATGCAAATATAGATGGCAATAATTATTATTGAGGGGAAAAGCGTGAACATTTCATTGGTAAATTCAGAACCAGATTATTTCATCTGATGTACCATAGAGACATTAATAAACTTGTATCTCTTTAGATAAGTGGAAAAAATATGGTTATGAGTTCCATGCATTTGAATGGAATAAATAAGGACCATTACATGGGTCAAGACCGGACATGCATTGCTCCTTGTCCAAATTAGGTGGCAACATGAATTACAATCAATATAGAAACAACTCCTGGAAGAACTGTTTATTACATAAAATAGTTTTGGTATTTTCCTTTGGAAAGCTAGTGTGTGTAGTAATTCAAAATCAACACGCTCATGTTCAGACCATGATTTTTGCAAGAATACTGAAGTGCTAACCTTATGCAGATAATCATAATATATATACTTTAGCAGAACTAGTACCACATTTTGCGAAACAACTGTTTCAAAATTCCTAAAATTGAAATGTCAATTTCCAAATTCAAAGCTTTTTGGTGGGCCAAATTTCATCGGCTTTTTATTTGGAAAAAAAATGTGGGACAAAGGTTTGAATGCAGACTGCCGCGACGCTGATCCAGGCAACCCTGGAACGTTGGCATTGTAATGAATCAGTCGCAGGTGCTGGTGGCTATTTTATGGAATATACGACATAGTAAATACTTCAGTTTCCTTAAGATTAGTCCACATTATCAAATTATATGGGACAAATTTGAGTGATGTGTCCATATATGGGAATGATTATGTCATATTACACCTGACTATGGGCACATCACTTTTTTTTTTTGTCACATAAAAAATTTGATATTGTGGACAAACGTTTACTGATTAGGTTAGTATAAAGAATATCTTCAACCTATTGTGAATAAAGAGGGTGTCTCACTGGGATAAATGTCCCCAGCTTTAATTTGCAAATTGCAAACTTCCTTACAATTGATTTAGAAACTGTAACAACACACCCTATTCCCACACTTTTTCCCTGGCTAATATTGTACGGGGGAAAATTGTATACACAAAACACAAAGAGTCCAGCTCATCGGTAGATGATCCCTTTTGCCTACCATCAGTTTAAACTCAGGAGATTTAAAACATTAATGCGTTCCTCTGAGGTAGCTATAAATAACTTCATACATAAAGATTGTATATTATACTCTTAGCATGCACAGTGAAACAGGTAAAAAACACAGGCATCATGCAATCTTTGTCCACTACATATCTGTGCTGAAACAGTTTACATAGGTTTATGTTTGTGTACCACTTCTGGGCTCAATGGCGAACACAACACGATTATAATAAACAAACTGTTCTGTTTAATGTACAATAAAAATGTCCCTGGGCAAGAAATTTTATCGCTGAATTACTGATTGAAAAAAAGAGTTAACAGTATCTTTAATAATTTCAATCAGGTAAACCAAATTTTTGGTTATAACACCTCTATGTGCTGTTAAATAAAATTAAAAAAACTCCCAATTTATAAGTCACATAGAGGGAATGTTTTTCTGTCTAAGGGAATTTTTTTTTATTTTTTTTTTTTGGGGGGGGGGGGGGAGTTTGGTGGGGTCCTTAAATGCTTAAAAAAAAAATGTCCACAAAATTTTGTAACACCACAAAGAAGTGAACTGGATACTGGAAGAGAATAAGGTTCACGCAACAACCATCAAGCGAGGTGAGTCAGTTAACGAATTATTTACAGATGATGCAACAGCTTAACGACCAACACTGCTTTAAATTCAACCAGTTATTATTTTATGTTCTGACACCCCTTAAACCGGGGAGGGGATTCAACTATATATGCTCATGTTTGCTTAATCGTTACCGAGGAAACAACATGAAACACTGTGTAACAAGCCAAAAAACACCAATTCACAATATTTCATTCCAAGATTCTGTGCTGCTCCACAGAATTTCAAATTTAAAAACTAAAGTCTTCAAATAATTTTACCATCCATACACAGAATTGAAAATGGTAAAAATGACTGATCTTTTTTCTAGGCCTATCTACAGCATCGTTTTCTGATGGAAATTAAATCGCAAGGGCATCTGCGACCTTGCGAGATGTCTTAGTTAATAATACACGGGAAATCGCACCGATATAACCATACAGTTACTTTTGCATCATATTCTTGTTAACTGAAACACTACTATCATCAAACGCTACTCGTATTAAGCATTTGCTATTGACAAACCAAAGTAACCATTTGGTGACCGGAAGAACATATGATTTTTTTTTCCCTTAAGTGGTTTTTCACAAACTGGTCTTTGCTTTTCTAAAAACATCTACATGTATCTCTTATCTATAGAAGCATGACTACTCTACGTCTGGCATTTGTGTTGGCTCTTCGAGAAGTCACTCCTAAATTTCTTTCGTTTCTTCACTGCGTTTTAACAATCAGCACCAAATTCACCATAGTAGTTGTTCTTTTCACAATTCATTATCAAAAAATCTTGGGGATTTTTTTTTTTTGCATCGACTTCCTGTATCTTTTCACATCATTTTTTTCCCTTCATACTTCTTCCCTTTTGTCTGGCAAACAATAATTCCTGTTGATTATAAGTAATTTGCAATCTTCCTTCAAAAACAGTTTTCCCCAATGGCAAAAACAAATTAGATAAAACAGCAATTTCATGACTGCTCCGTTTACCACTGCTGAAAGTTCTCCATCAATAACTTATTTTCAACAAAAATGTGTATTTACACACAATCTGTACATACCTGGGGCATATCAAAAGAAATCAATCATTATTCGCTGATTGTTTTTCATGCCAAGTAGCAGAAACCCTGCTGTGATAGCTAGGGTTCAGTTTTGTTCATTAAATTCATGTGCCTTACTATAAGTCAAGGTATTGAAAGGTTTTAGTTAGAAGGATGAAAGAGAACTGAACACGATGCATTCTCCGATGCTGAAGTCAGCTGACCGACCGACCGACTGGTGAAAACATGAATCGCATCTGCTATTAATTATCGATCAAGTAAATTAATTCATTCACCCTACTGCTCGCCATCGACTTTGGCGTTAACAGCGTTAATGGCTTGGTCCGAGTGTATTGTCATTGGTACCACGGCGCTAATGGTGCCTGGTACGACCCCATGGTTCTCGACCTGCGGGGGTGGCGGCTGTGCCTGCGGAGCAGCAGGCTGCATCAACACAGGAGCTGTGAAGCGTGAATAAGCGGGCACAGACGATCCATTCATTTCCGGATGTGGAGGGTCTGGCCAAGGGGCACTACCCTGCGTGTGTATATACTCCTTATTGATGCAATTTCGCAAACTATGTGGAAGACGCCCGGTGATACCCCTACGAACCTCGCCGGCAGCACTTTCGCGGACTTCTGTGCTACTTTGTTCACTGTACCAAGAACAGTGTGGGGTACATATCAGGTTGGGGGCATCTTTCAACGGACCGGTCTGGAAACTAAAAGGCTCACTCTCGTGGACGTCGAGAGCGGCGGCGCGAATCCTGCCCTCTTTCAGTGCAGCAGCGAGGGCATTTTCATCTATCAATCCGCCTCTTGATGTATTCACAAGGAAGGCACCCTGACGCATTTGTTTGATAGTGAACTCATTAATTAAGTGATGATTGTGCTCGTTAAGTGAACAATGTAATGTCACGCAATCACTCTGGAATAACAGATCCTTAAAGAAAAAAAAAGAAAAAAACATCAGTTTTAAGCACTTGTATTTGATAAACAAAAATGTCTTTACTAAGAAATATAAAGCAATAACATAAGCGTCACATATACAGATACATACTTGGCAATGCAAAATCAGACAATTAACAGGACTTGCTTATACCATGCTTACACCCATTGTACCAACCCCCTTATCATTTGCAGGGGTCCCAAGTCTACCGCTACTTGCGGTAGTCTACCGCTTTTAGCGACGATCTACCGCGCTACCGTAAGCTTACGTTTTTCTAAAACATGAAAAAAATTCTCCCGTAAATTTTTGAAAATTTGAGTAGGCTATTTAATTTTGAATATCAGCTTAGCCTGGGCCTAGATAAAAACATAACTTGTTACAAAACATCGTAAACAATCACAAATAAGTTTATTCCACTCCCTACCATCACTGTTTATAATGCATTTGCAATTAATTACGGTAGCTGCTGAAAACACGGAATCACAATACACTTTGTTTATTAAAAAAGTTGATGCGCCCATCCTTCCGACGCCCGGCCTGAGACCATGCCTGCAGTGTGATTTTATCTAAACAACCCCATAAAAACACGCCCTTTGACAAGTAGAACAGGCCTACAGCTAACTTTTTGCATAAAGTTAATTTTATCAAGCTGTTTCATGAAAATAATCACACAATTATTAATTAATAGTCAAAAATAATAAGTAAAAATATGGCTCCAGCGAAGAAACGCAAAATTCATGTGTTTTTAATTCACAATTCAACAAGAAGTACGTTCGCCACTGCTGGCGCACCATCGAGGTCAACTAACTCAACTCTGGAAAAAGTATACTGTTTGAAAGCATGGAGGTCCATGTTGTTGGTTATGCTGTAATATCTGTGAAGAACGGTGGAATGGCCGATGTTGAAAAATATTTAAAGGTATGTTGACTTCTTTTTAAACAGTTTTATGTGATTGTGATAAAAAATCATACATTCTACATTCAGTTTTGTGACTTGGAAGTGGATGGTTATAAGAGGTCTGCACTCATCGTTACCCTACCTGGCCTAAGCCTAGCCGTCTCCTCGAGCATTTTTTCCCTGTACTAGCTAGGGCCTAGACTAGGCCCAGGCCAACCGTCCTTAAAATACCTTAGGTCTAGACCTCAGTTAAGGTTTTTGAAGTCAAGCTACATACACCTAGACAAGACTATCGATATTTTAACAAGAATAAAAACAAATTAGGTTACATACATTTTGAGATAATATTTTCGTTATTTTTGTATTTGTTTGCATTGATTGAACTGCATCCAAATTCCACTCTTCTCTTAGCAGCAAAGAAGCTACTAGACTACTATTACTGTTGAATACAATATTAAACTAACAGATGCCGGAAAAGAACTGTAAATTAATGAAATTAATGATATTGATGTAGTAGGCCTAAGTGTAAATAAATGAATAATGTACAATATTAGAGGCCTACTGTACAGATTAGTAGATTCCAGAATTTATGTAATTTCATGGTATTAATTTACATTGTTGTGTAAATAAAAATGAATGGAAGAGCAAGTTAACTGTGTGTTTGATCATTGAATGTCAAGTATTTGATATTATGAGTAGTTGAGTATTGGCTGCAACGCGACGTGCATTGTATTTGCAGGCGGTCAAAGGTTCCCGACAAAATCTCCTGTGAATGGAGTTCTTCAACTTGGGACCCCTGCATTTGTATTGCTTACTTTATTTATTTACCATATTTTATACTCATTACCTTTTTGTAAGGCAAGTACCTTAGCTCTACTCCATCTCCAACAAAAAAACATGATGGCAATTATTAGCCTCTTTTTTGAGAATAGAGTTAATTTGGTCAAAACATCCACATTTTGTAACGATTAGAATTTAGGAAATTTGGGTTTAAAATTCAAGCACTTTAAACCAGTACAATCAAGTGATAGCTCCCTCTACATATAAAAAAATTACAACAAACCTGTAGGGTGTACACTCTGGTTAAGCCTAGTGATTTCTCAATACCATCTGATAGATATGGATCATAAAACAGCACATTGAAACCAAACACCCTTGCACGCTGAGCTACTGCAGTACCAACACGACCTGAAAAAGGCAAGATTTATATTCAATCATAAAAATAAATATTTGAGAAAAACCTAGGTCCCCATCGGGAATCGAACTCAAGACCTTCAATTACTGTTCGGATACTCTACCAACTGAGCTATGAGGCCAAGTGGTATTACACCCCGTCACTGCTTCTTCAAACAGTTTTTTTTACATATTGATATAAATACTATAGTAATACATTGCATAGTGATCAGATAAGGTGCTATAGTAGTTTACATTGATAATCATAACAAGAATGATTATGTAATATTTGTATAAACTACTATATCATTACACTGCATAATGATGGAATATGGTGCTTTAGTACTTTACATCAATATTACTGATAAGAATGATTATGTAATAATTGATATAAACCATTATATCAATACATTGCATAGTAGTGGAATATGGTGCTATAGTACTTTACATCAATAATATGAATAATAAGAATGATTATGTAATATTGATATAAACCACTATAGAAATACATTGCATAATGATGGGATATGGTGCTATAGTAGCTTACTAATAAGAATAATTATGCCATTTCAATATAAATTACTATATATGAAGAATTTTTCATTCCTGATGATGACACAATTAATGTCGAAATATTGAATCCCAACACGATGGCATGCATTTCAATACTTTGAATATGTATTACACTTTCCTACTGTAGCAAAATTGCATAAGCATGAGATATGGTGCTATAGTAGCTTCATATCAAATAGTCATCCTCTTTATTGTCACTGTCATATGATTATCATCTTCACACTGAAATAGCCTTATTTTATACCTAAGCCAATGATGCCAAGGGTTTCCCCTCTTATCCTAGTTGCTCCGACAGCCGACTCGCGGATTTGTTCAACGCCTCCTAGCTTCTTTCCTTGCTTTAGCATATCGGCCATCCAGAAGGTTCGTCTGTAAATATTCAGTATCATACAGAGCGTGGAATCAGCAGTCTCTTCCACGCTATAACCGGGTACGTTGCAAACCGCAATACCTTCAAGAAAGAATATTTGTAAATATTATCTATATACATATGGTCTAAATTTGCATTTGTACATAGGACCATCTAATTACCATGTGAATGCTATGGATAGTAGGCCAAATTGATATATTTCCATTAAGTTTTCTAAGACATGCTTTTTCCACTCAAGGTAGTGTATAATTCATAATGAATAGTAGATAAATCACACATTAACATTTTTATTTTAAAAAATAACTTTCACTAGTGATATAAAAAGATAATATTATTTTAAAAAACATCTAAAGGCAAAAAAAAGCCCATTAAGCGAAAATGTATTCATGTTTAATGAGGGTAAGTCTTTTAGCAAAGATGGTTATCTTGGTTCCATAATCAGGTATTGGAAAGTAGAGTTGTTTTTGGTAGCAAAAAATCATCATGACATTTATATTATACCGAGATTGAACCCAGGAATGTGGTTTGGAAGATGAAAACCCTTAACCCCACTAAGATTAAATATGCTAGAATACAATGGTACACATGAAATTTTTGAGAACACTTCAACTATTTCAGACCGCACCCTTTACAAATTGATTATTATGAAGATGAGTTGCCATGCTTCGAGTTTGATTAAAATGCGAGTACTGTATTTAAGAACACTTTGGATAAAAACGTCAATCAATGCGAGGTCAACGCGAGATGAAACTTCACTGACACTGATACAGTATCCTCAAATAACACACAGAAAACTGAGGTTATGTAAATTCGGAGATCAGTACATTATTTTAACTCACTTTCAGTATTAATGTTTAAATTTCAAAGAATAAATCATCAAGATTTTCATGGTATTCAATTGGCCATTTTAAAACGCATAACTTCTAAAACTTAATCAAAAACTTAGAATCATAAGGTAGATAATCTTAATTCTGACCCAATATGAGTGACCGCACATAACGAATAGTTAAGTGATAGTTGAAATCTCAATTTTTATCATTATAATCGATATTCGGAAATTGTACTGTGAGAATGAGATGAGCTGTGACTGTTTCAGTAACAGGTCAGATAGTTCAAGTTTTAAAGCAGGTATTTTGAGATATTGAATTCTGGGTTATTAGTAAAGCTAAGAGGGGGGTGGGGGTGGGGGTGGGATAAACAAATATGTATCTCATATCCTCCCTTATAATTTTTTGGACTGCCTTTGATAGAAACCTAATAATTCTAAAAAGTATCAGTTTTAATAGATACATTTCCATTTAAGACACATCTGTTATATCTGGTATATTTTTTTTATCTTTACTATGCTGTTTTATTGATGAAACTGAACCTCTTGGTAGACCAGTGTAAGTATGTTGATATAGTAATTGCAGGAGATTTGATTTTATTTGATTTGTGAAAATTTAAGCCTGGCCAAGGCCTCGAAAATGTTAGTTTAAAGTGCTATCCATTTGTTTAATGAAAAAAAAGTAATGGAACAATAAATTGTGATGAAGAAAGTCACTTAGTAAGCGAATCCCAGATTCCGCATCTGTTACTGTTGGTGTCATTCCACGAAAAAAAAAAAAGAAAAACCTACAAAATTCCTTGTGCTTGTTCTTAACTCACCTAAATCTCCGGCTGCCTTTATATCAATATTATCATATCCAGAGCCAATGCGTACTATCACCCGCAAGGCTTTAAATTTTTCCAGATCCTCTCTTGTCAGTGTAATGGAGTGATACAACAGCGCCCCCACTGCTTCATTTAGAACCTGGGATAAAGAAACACAATTGAAAAGTCCTTGAAATGTCACATTATATACCATGATATAATTGACTTTGTTTGTAATCTCAAAGTTAATGGTGCAGTCAGCTCGCTGATTACAACCGTAAGAGTCATTTGAATGCAAAAAAACACATCAAAAAAAAAAAAAAAGGATGAACAAAAAAAATTATACCTGCAAGAAAATAATAACACCTTTGTAAATGACTGATAGGTAGTAACACAAAATAGCGCTTCTAATATACGTATATTTTGACGAATGTATCTTTCACATGTCAATTATCCTGTTTTTACAATAATGGTATTATATATTGTTTGTATTCAGTCCTTATTGTTGAAATTTCCTACTGTTAAGCCCCTCGGATACAGAATACTTTTCAAAATTTGTATGTTAAAATGTGAACGATATCAAATAAAGAAAATTGATAGATGTCATGAACCATGAAAAATGAAATTTCAAAACAAAATTTACTTGATACATAATTCAATAATCACGAAACACTATGACATTTGAACTGCTCTGTTTAATTATAATCAATGGAATTATTTCAGATTTATAGAATTCGATGACAAATAAAAGTTATCTTGCAAAATATGAGGCAAAAATCAATATTACAAAATATTGTCAGAAAAGTAATATAAGAAATTGTAATACAAAATGTTGAAGTCTTTGAATGTACTGTAAGGCTAGTACCAAATGCTATTTAATTTAGAATGCATTTGTTTAAAACCAAAATTGAAACAATAGTATATATACAAAAGGATTTAAAGCGTTATAATAGTTAGAGTTCTAATATAAAGTCTTGTGGAGACTATCAAATTTTTGCCTAAATATGGTCATGATGACATCACATCATGACCATATATAGGCACATCATGACTATATATGGGCACATCATGACTATATATAGGTACATCATGACCATATATAGGTACATCATGACCATATATGGGCACATCATGACTATATATGGGCACATCATGACTATATATAGGCACATCATGACCATATATGGGCACATTATGACCATATATAGGCACATCATAACCATATATAGGCACATCATGACTATATATGGTCATACAACAGTTTTTTGATAATCTTCTTATGGTCTGTCCACACTATCTAATTTTCTTTGACAAAAAACTGTTGGAAATATTAAAATATAAAAATATATGTATTGAAATTGTTGACTTCAAATTATTAACTTTTTGGGCGTACTAGATATTCAAGTGGCTTTTCATTTGAAAGAAAATGCACAATTAGTATTATACGCACCATCCTGGCATTGATCTAGACAATCCACAAATGGTACGCTTTTTCGCAAACACAGCGGTCACTTTATTTAATCAGAAGACAACTTGCCAACGCCGTGTATAGTTATCACAGTCTTATAACTAAATTGAATTCGTTTACAGTCAAGTACAATGTTTACTTTTTTGGCAGTTGTGTAATTTTCTTTTGTAAGTAAATCATTTTTTGATATAAACGTAATTTGCAATTCAGCCTTTTGGCTGCCATGTCTTATGTTTTTAATCATTTTGATCGGTATAAATACTATTATGTATAATTGACTTGCCATTTATTTAACCTTTTCCATTCTAATCAGCTACCAAATGTAAATGTATGTTTCATTGAAATATAATTGCAGTAAAAAATTGTCTATTTTGTTTGAGCGCTTGACTTTAAAATATCATCTTCCATAATATTTGCAATTGTTATGATTTTATGATCATTTTTCCTGCCATAGCGAAGCCATAAAGTCAGGCAATAAATGGCCCATAAATTTAACTCCACTCTTGCTCGAATAAATATTATTTTACATATCTCATTTGCCCTGCTTCGAAAGGATAATGAGCAAACCCTTTACTGTATAAACTACATATTTGCCTTGTGTAGTTAGAGACGTACAAATACCATTACATCAACACGAGATCGCATTACCACATTCATTAGTCATACAGTACCTCATCATAATACGACTTCTGTTTCGTAAAATTATTTTAAAACAAAAGAAAAATTTTAATTTTATATCAGATTATTAAAATTTCTGTGAATGACTTCGCGGAAACCAATATGGTAATAATCCGTTATATAATGTAAGAGATATGACACAATAGTAAATGCTTGAGGACTGCAGAACAATGCGTGGTCTTGGGAATAACGTGTATGATGGATTGGATATGAGTTGCAGACGAACACAAATGCAATAAATCACGAGCACTGATGATCAGCGTGTGTTTCAGTGGATGATGATGATGATGGTGATGTCTTCGTTTCGGTGACTAACTCTGCGTGCGGTGCATGGCGGACGTGAACTGCATCGTGCCATTAGCATATGCTGCTATTGTTACTGTAGGCTTTGACTGGTAAGGCAACATGGTGGAACATATGGCATTACAACATTGGTACCGTACATGTAATTAATGAGGCATCAACCACGTCTTTAATATTCTTGAATTTCATTACCTCTTTCGTTTTCAACATAATATTATCTCTATCAACATGAGCTATATATCTTTATACAAATCAAAATACGTAAAATCATAGAGATTGTACTAAGCAATTGAGTTAAATTATGTCAACAACATAACAACTAGTATTAAACTGTTATTAAATCATGTAATTTGTAAACCTAACATAACTTAACTAAAGGTGAACCTTTCAGACTGTCAAAAAGTGTCAAACTTCACTTTGCTTCTAAAGGCTCATCATCATCAGTTACATAGTTGATCAAATTTACCATTGGTAATTATGACCCTTAATGTTTGTTTTATGGAATTTTATTGCCATCTATATTATCATCACCATTATTATCAGCACTATCAAAATTACTGGTTAATATTAATCTCTAAACATACCTTTACAAATCTCTAAATTAGCCAATTTCTGACGATAATTATCCTTATCAATTATTAAAATTATCATTTATTTACTATCAACATTAGATAATTACTTTAATTAAAAAAGCAAACAATTTCTTAAGAGGCCCTTCACCAACACACTAGCCGAAAATGAATCCATTCTAAGAAAGCTATTATCTGTACCAACGAAAAAAACAAAATTTTCTGACAAGAAAAGAGAGTTCACGGCCTCATCACAGATGTGGACACAACTAAGCCGAAATTAATCTGTCTCTAAATGACTATTAGCGGGTAAAGTAGCATTGAGCATATACACTTGAAAACTATGAGAAAGATTACAATCAATAGGTTGATGAACGTGAAAAGCTTTTTGTGATTTTCCATGCCACTTCAGCACGCCAAGAAATCTACAGATGACGCCATATCGCCAGCATAGAAGACACCGACGATGCAGACCCTTCCACATTCCCCGCAAAAAAACATCCAAAATCGCATTTAGGTAGGTTAATTATACCAAATTAAATTTAGTGCTTACTATAATTTTGTTTGATAGAGCTTCAGTTTATTGTCCAAGATTTGATGCTAAAACAAGCGCAAGTCCTTAGATTATACCTTAATGGCAATGAAGATAACAAAAACATAACCAATTTAATTTTTTATTATTAACAATAACAATACCAACTTAAGAAACTATAAATAGAATTATTAATAACAGTTTAATAATAACATTCAACTTTAATAATCTTAACATTAATAGACACTTTCAAGAATTCATACCAACATTAATTTTTAGTAAAATTTTAATTACATTCAGACATTTTTATATCAACAGTTAAAATTATTAAATTTAATAATTCGTACCAACATTAATTCTTAGTAAAATTTTATTCACGTAATCCCAAACCCAAAGATTCAGCATGAACAAGAGTTATCTAATCCCAATTTCTCACGCATATGCTTATTCTTTTTGACTTTGATCAGTTTTGATTTCAATAAATGCATTAAAAGGCTTCAAATAGCATAGTTAAGTTAAAATATCAAATAATATGGCAAGAATGATTAATCTGTCCTAGCCTAAAGCATTGAGACCTTAATGTTACCACAACGAATATGGACAACAAAGGAATTCATGCTACAAACTACAGAGCTAGTTGTCGGAAGTGGGTGACATGCTTCAATGCTTTCCTATTAGCTAACTCAAGTTTCAGAAATCTTATATTTATTATATTTTTCAAAAAAGAAAAAGTCATATTAAAGTGTTTTCCATTACATACTGTACAATGTGTGGTAAACTTGTGAGCCATAATAAAACAAGCTCAAAGCTTGGAATTGGAATGTTAATAGGAAGTCAAGCTCACTTTTCCCTTTATTTTACATTTCATTAGTATATCTTACTGCATTTAAAGCAAAAGTGTATAACCGATACATGGACAATTATTCATACTTGAATCTTGTGGATTCTATTTAGTGATTGCATGTCAAAAGCATTTGCTGCAAAGTTATATATTGATTTGAATATTGAAATGTTATTGAAATTGATTGATTGATTGATTTGTTGTATGAATTATTGACAGCTTATAATGACAATTCATTTTAGTAGCTGGTAATTGTGTTCCAATATAAGGTAAGCATGACAATGGATTTATTGTGTTAAATTCATCACATTCTATCCTCATTACAATAAGTCATACTGTATGTTTCTCACATATTATTATGTGTATACAGTGTGTATGTACAGTATGTATGTACATCTGTCTCTTATACACATCTAGATGTGTATAAGAGACAGATATATTACAATGGTATCTAGGTTATGAATGCACATTGATAATATAGGTCTATCTAATAAAAATATTCGCTACTATAGCTTTTCTTCTTTATATCAAACTTTAATATATATTTTTATATATCAAAAGCTTACTATTGTTTTCAATAAATTAAATACCCATACTGGTTTGTATTTAATGCAACAGATTCTGAGGCATCTATTTTGTTATCCCCACATTACTTATAATATTAATTACAACTTATGCGTGCGATATTTATTGTTTTTAATGAACATGTCCTAATCAATAGCGATTACAGCTCTCCCCGAGGGCGCTGCAATTGATATGTTGTGCTGCA